TTTACTGACCTTTGGGGCAGAGCAGCCAGTTGTGTGTCTTTACCACTTCAACTCCTTCAGCCTGAGAGAGAGACGCCAGTTAGAGCTGACAGTCATTCATCATCAGTCGTCCTTATTTATGGAAAGCCAATAACCAGACAGATGTTTGTATTTTTGAATAACGTTTGTTCAGACAAACCTTGACAATTAGAGGACGGGTGACAACATCGATGCGGCCTCTGTCTGGGATGCTCACAATCTCATTGTCACAAGAAGCCTGAGATGGAATGGCCTCAGCAGACACGGTCACATTTACAACCCCTAAAAACATTTAAACATATCAAATGCTCACAGCCTGTGCTCCTCCTTCAGATCCATAACCTTTTCAGGTTTGAAGGGAAACAGAGATTTGTTCCCACAGTCCATCACCTTAGTTATAATAACTGCAGTTTATTGTTGAAACAGAAAAAGTCTCCTCCTCACCTAAAGCTGTAGCTGTCAGGGTCCAGCTGAGAGTCTTCCGCTCGTTGGCACAAAGGCAGGATGTGTACTGGTCCCCAGAGAGGGGCGTGAGGGTGTAATCTGAGGATTGCTCTGCTATCACTTTAACCTGTTTAGGAAGATAAAATTAGCATCTTGGACTCTTGGTGGATCAATGTGTGACTTTGTGCAAGTTAGCTGTTAAGTGTTTATAGTAGCTTTTTTCCTTTTTTTGTTTATTAAAACAACCCTTTTTAAAGTTACTTATTCTATGTTTAGTTTTTCTTTTAAATTAAACTATCATATCTCACTTTTCATTCAGTTTTTTTTATTTCCTCAAGGATCAGCAGACATTAAGAATGATTCACATATACTGATGTTTTATTGGGGTGAAACAGGCACTTCCGTTTGTCTATCGTCATGGTGACTCGTTGAATTGAGCTCAACTGGTAATGGCTTTTCATACTTGTTATTCACGTGTTCAACTCTGAGTTGACCTACTTGAGTTGACTGAACTATTCATAGCAGCCATTGTGAAACCGAAAAAGGTTTGACCCATTTAGAGTTGCTAATTTGAATCCAAAGTCTCATTCCTCAGAGTTTGTTAGAAATCATTTGATTTTTGAATATCTATTTGATTTAATTTGTCCTACAGAAACCTGGCTGCAGCAAGAGGATTATGATAACACAGATGAATCATCTCCTAGTTATTTAAATTTTCAAAGCTTGACTATCGTAACTTCACCATCAGAAACCAAAAAAATTCCACTAAATGTTAAAAGCCTTCAGCTGATCCAGCCTAATGCAAGATCTAATGTAAATTTATAAAAGAGATCATATTTCCCCCATTTTAGCCTCCTTTCTTGGCTTCCTGTTATATCCAGAATAGAATTGAAAAATCTCCTTTGTATGTAAAAAACTCTATAGAACTAGGTTCCATCTTCCTCCTTACCCGTAATATTAATCTGCAGGTTTACTAGTGGTTCCTAGAATTTCTAAAAGTAGAATGGGAGGTAGATCTTTTAGTTATAAGGCTCCTTTCCTGTGGAACCAAGTACCAGTTTTAGTCCGTGAGGCAGGCACCCTGTCTACTTTTAAGGCTAGGCTTAAAACTTTCCTTTTTGATAAAGCTTCTAGTTAGAGTGGCTCAGGTTATCCTGAGCTATCTCTATAGTTCTGCTGCTATAGGCCTAGACTGCTGGAGGACATAGGGACCCCTTTTTCATTACTCTGCCTCATTCTATCTCTATTCTCCCACTCTGCAGAACCTAACCGCACTTCATGCACGCCTGGCAGCACAAATGAACCAACTGCTGATGGATGGGACCCACCCAGAATGGGTGGGCACTGCCTGGATTGACTATAAGAAAGCCTACGACTCAAACGATCCTGGAATGCTTGGAAATGTACAAGATCAACAGGACACTAATGGCCTTCACCAAGAACTGAATTAAGCTGTGGAAAACAAGTCTGGAAGCCAATGCAAAGCCAATTGCACAAGTCACCATCAAGTGCGCCATATACCAGGGCGATGCAATATCCCCACTGCTGTTTTGCATAGGCCTGAACCCCCTCAGCCAGATCATTACGAAGACTGACTATGAATACCAATTCCGAAGCGCAAAAATCATCAGTCACCTCCTCTACATGGATGATATCAAGCTGTATGCCAGGGTGAGTGAGACATCGACTCACTGATCCACACTACCAGGATCTACAGCAACGACATTGGAATGTCATTCGGACTGGACAAGTGCGGTCGCATGGTCTCAAACAGAGGGAAGATGATCATAACCGAGGGGCTTGAACTACCAGAAGGCAACATTACAGATGTTCAGGACAGCTACAAATACCTTGGGGTGCCACAGGCTAACGGAAACCACAAGGAGACAGCAAGAAAGACCGCCACAGCCAAATATCTACCCTCCTGCCTCGTCATTCTGATGGAGCATCTTGTCTTTATGAACTGATCAATTGTTCTGTCAGAACAAATACTGTTTTGTAACCATTTGTTACATTCTGTTAATAAAAGACAGCTGCAGGAGGGGATTCGGAGAAGGAAAGCTTGAAGTTGAGTTGGGCTTTTTCTTTCCGCTCTTGCAGAAGCTGCTTGAATCTCTTTCCTGTGTAGACTCAATTTCTATTTTTTTTCAAACCTACAATTTCTGAATCTAACATTTTTGGTGCCGAAAGCCGGGAGTCAAGATCCAATTGTCCAGGACCGTGGGACCAAGGCCAAGAATTTGTCAACAGCCGCCCTCCCTACGCCGGACGGGGCCCATAGGTTGGTCCAGCCCTGCCCTGGGCATCTTGGTGACGACTCCAGAGGAATCGCTCTACACAGCAAAGGGTAGGCCAAAATCTTTTGATCAACAGTTGGTCTGGGACCATTTAAGTTACAGCTGTACTCGCAAGAATATTTGTTCACACTTCTGGGATCTGGGTATTCTGTGCGTTTGAGTCTGGGACTCTGTGTTGTTCTCGAGATAGTACGGTTTGCAGCTGCCGCAGCAGGGATGTTTGACGAAACCAAGTTTTGTTGACAGATCTGGGATCTGGTTATTCGGTGTGTGTGAGGAGTATACCTCTAGGGCAGTGGTCTCCAACCCTGGTCCTCAAGATCTACTGTCCTACAGATTTTAGATGCATCCCTGCTTCAACACAGCTGAATCAAATGAATGGCTTGAAAAGGTAATCAATCATTTGATTCAGCTGTGTTGAAGCAGGGATGCATCTAAAACCTGTAGGAACGTAGATCTTGAGGACCAGGGTTGGAGACCACTGCTCTAGGGCCTGTGCGTGGGGAGTCTAGGACTCCAAAGTGTACACATAAGAATATAAAAAAAACTGCAGTGAATAGCATTTTTAAACAATTGCCAAAAGCATGGGGCTAGAAAGCAGTAAGAAGGAAGTGCCAGGTGATGTTAGATAAATGGTGACATGTTGTGGTGGTGATCCAATGTTTGCCAGAAAGTGGTTGAGAAGGAAGGTTGGAGTGGACAGTTGAGCAGACAGTTGAGTTGAGCCGCTGATGAAGATTCAGCAGAAAGTGGAGATGAAGTTGGTGTGTAAATCAGGAAATAAGCAAGCTACATACAGAAAAGAATTGGAGGAGTTAAATAAGTGGATTGTGCAAGCTAAGCATAGAGAAAGTCAAATACAGCAGAAAAGGGATAGAAAGAAAGCTATAATTGCTGCTGTGAAAGTTAAAGCTGATGAAGAAACTGTTGTATCTCGCATGTTTCCTCAAAATCCTGCCCCTAATCAAATTCAAGGGGGTAATGGGGTTCAAGGGGTAGCATTAGCTGTGCAGGAAGGTAGACACAGACCCCTTCATGGTGGATATGAACACCACCATGCTACTGTTCCTCCTCCAGTAGCCCCACCCTCGTATAATGATGTTGGAGGAGCAGGAACAAGCCCCCTGTCCATATCCTCCTCTATGGATGGTATGGACTTTAGTGCCCTTGACCCTTATGATCCTGAAATAAGAAAAAGGGAGGGGAAACCTTATTCTAAGTATTACAATGATGATTATCAAATAGAGGCTCATAAAAAAAGGCCCATCCGCCCCTATTTATCCAAATTTGGCTAAATTACAAAACCAAGAACAGGACAAAATTCCTGAAGGGGGGGGCATGTGCTTTTCCAATGTTAGAGGTGGCCAACCCTCGTTATGGCCAACGCACAGGACCCCAAGATAATGATCCAGTGGATAATAGGCCCACCATTCTTGTGTATAGGCCATGGACAGATGCAGAAATGCAGACTGCCTGCCAAGGTGTAACCCCAGCTAGGCAGGACCCAGTTAAATGGTCCGAGGATATTAAAACCCTCATTGATTCTTACAAATTAAATTGGGCAGAAATAGAAAAAGCTATGAGGTGTAGTTTGGGCCATAATTGGGCTCAAGTGAGGGGCCAATACACTGGGCGCTGAGGAGATTCAGTTGGAATCCTCCCTTTGGGGGATGGGGACTTAGAAAGATAGGTTACTGCTGTCTGTGAAGCAGCCCACCGCCTGTGGAGACAACCTCCCAGTCTTACTAAAATCTCTGAGGTCCGTCAGGGTCCAGAGGAAGAAGTGACAGCATATAGGGCCCGACTCCAAAAGGCTATTAATCGCCACAGTGGAGTCCCAGAGGATAATGCTGAGGACGGGGTGTATATGTCTCTGCTGAAGCAATATTTACTTGCAGGTCTCCGTCCAGAAATTAGAGGTCATTTGGAGAAACATTTGGTTGGATGGAGAACTGCAACTTTTAACACATTGATGGAGTATGCTTTGCATGCTCAGGATTGGAAAAATGCAAAAAAAAATTCAAATCCACCTAGTGACTGATAGTTCAGCTGTAGGTGGAATGTTAGGAGTCTATTATCGGGACTTCAGAGTGAAACAAAAGGGAAGAGGGATGGGCCGGTGGTCACAGGGGAAAAACAAGGGGCCACGTAGAGAGCACAACAGGTGCTATAATTGTGATAAGGAGGGCCACTTTGCTCAAGAATGTGCAGAACCCCCGCAGAGTGACCCTCCCCGTCATCGATATTATGACCAGCACTGACGCCAGAAGTCATGTGCACCAGCAAAAAGTGAGGAGCTGTTAATTGTGAACCCAGTGGAGGTCCTGGACCTACAGCAAATTTTCCTTTCTTTTTTAAACACATCAGAAAAACCATACTGGCATTTAAACATTCAAAGAGTAAAAGTAAAATTCTTGTGTGACACCGGGGCCGATAAATCCGTTCTGAGGGACACATTACCTCAGATTAAACCGGGATCAAAATGGATCACTGTAGTCTCTGCTGTTGGGAGAATGGTGGTTCAGCGCATTTCTGAAAAACAATTGGTCACTGATGAATAGGGATTCACGGTGGAAGCTGATTTTGTGTTGAGCCCAGACTGTCCAGTTAATCTATTAGGCAGAGATCTGTTAAGGGAATTGCAATTAGCGTTGGTGCCTACAGACAAAGGCATGTCAGTGAGAAGATGTACAGATTTTATGCTACAAGGGGAAGTTTCAACAGAGCTGGAAGCAGCTGACACACATGTGATACATTCAGGCTCATTCCCAAAAACATTTTACTCCCTGGATCTAACCACCCAGGGGCCACGGGAAATAGTGACTCAGCT